TACGTGCATTTGCGTGCTAGGTATTTAGCCCCAACAATGCTCCCATAAGAAATTCCATGTCTTGGTTGTTCTCTTTAGTATGATTATCGGGGGTAAACAAGATGCAAAAGCAGACTCATGTGCGCGCTGGAACAACCACAAGCTATGGCTAGAGTAGTGTGTGTCTGTGTTTTTATTGCATCGTTTTTGTATTTGTAGAATGGAAAAAAAAATTTGTGCAAGGTGCATAGATTTCATTCTTGCCTTTCATGGTGTTAGGAAAAAAAGGATAATAGACAACTATAATGATCAAACTTCAAGAGGGTCATTTGCAAAAATGAAAGCACAAGATAAAATATAAGTATAACGTTCGAATCTAAACATATTGCACTATTAGATAATGTTAGATTTTATTGAAAATTAATAGTAGTATATTATTTTGAATAACTTAGATATCTTCAATATCTACTTAGTTACTTCAATAAAATATATGTAAGAAATAGTGTAAAACTTAAAAATAAATTTCATAAATAAAATCATCTAAGACGTGCAGCCAGGCCCAGCCCAAGGCCAAGGCGGGTAAGGCCACCGCTTTGGGCCTCCGAAAAAATCAATTTTTTAGGACCTCCGATTTCTGATAACATGTTATATACTTTTATATGTAATACAGTGGATTACAGTTGTCTTTAGCTTTACTGGTTTTTCCTTACCTTGAATTGGTGAATGTTCCGTATTCGAACTCTCTAGTTCTCAATTTTCAAAGTATTTAACCTTTCTTTTTTCAGTTAAATGAGCTGAAAAAGAGGCCCAAAACCAAAATTGTTTTTTACATTTTTTTTCTTAAAAAGAGGGCCAAACAAATTAAAATTAATCCAATAATTTTATTTATATATTCAAGTCCTCTATTTTGTCGATTTTGGAACAATTTTTTATTCTAAATTCCAAAAATTTTTGTTTCCGATTTTTTCAATTTGTTTTTACCGGAATGGTATATAAGATTCCGATTTCCATTTTATTCTGAATCTTGGCAATTTTTGAATTTTCGATTCATGGGTTATTTTATTTTCTTATTATTTTTTGTTTTTCTTTAACGGAATCTAGATTAGTTTTTCACTTCAATTTTTTTTTTTGGAAATTTGTCCAAAATTCATTTGATTTCCACCCATACACACACATCAGGGAAGACATAAATACCCAATATTTTGAATACAAATACCAGAAAAAAAAAAAAAAAAAAACACGGGGCCTCATTTATTGTGTTCGCCTTAGGCCTCCCAGACCCTAGGACTGACCATGCGTGCAACGCACGTCCACTTTCCTAGTTTCAATTAAAATTGTGATAGAGTTGTGAGAAAGTTACAAATAAAATAAAATCGCATTGCAAGCCAGTAAAAAATGCACTATTAATAGTATTTTAGTATAATATATTAAGTAGATATTGGAGTAAAAATATTTCAAAGTTTATCTTAGGTGGGGAAACTACACATAAATCCGTAATCCAAAACTCAAAACACAGATCAGTCCCTAGGTAGTTTCCCCAAGCAATTCAGTCCCTATTCACGCGTCTGACATGCTGATCAGTCCCTAATGTGAATTTTATATATTTTATTATATTCTCTCTCTTCTTTTTCACTCTTACCCTTTTCTCTCTCCTCATTTTCTCTCTCTTCATTTTCTCTCTCTTCGTCTTCTCTTTCTTTCTTCTCTTTCTTCATTTATATCTGCTCTCTTTCTTCTCTATTTCTTCTCTCTTTTTCTCCTCTGGTTTCCTCTTTTTCCGACGAAAAAATCACTGTAAAACCCTCCCACCCCACAATGGCTACAAATGATGTACCTAATGATGTACCCACTGTGATTCTTGGAAGTTGTCGATACAAAGATCAACTTCACAAGTGCAAACTCGTAAACTGAAGTGTACTCGGTGTGGGAAGCCTGGACACAATCATCGTACTTGCACACAACCAATCTGACTAGCAATTTTTTTTAATGTAAATATTGTCTGCATTTGTGTTATTTAAACTAACTAGTTTTATTTCTAATGTACATTTTATTTTTTTCATCAGGGAAGACAAGATGGAGGAGAGCACACATGATTGCCCATTATGTTATTCAAGTGATTGAAGTGAATGAAAACTGGCTATTTGTACTTTATTATTATGTGATTTGTACTATGTTGATTTGAACTTTGTACTATGTTTCAATTTGCACTATGTTTTTGCTATTTATAGTTTGTACTATGTATTATGTACTCTGTTCATTGATGGTTTATCATTTTCAGTCTAATGGTACTATTTTTATTTACACATGGTATTGCATATGAGATAGGATGGTATGCCTATTGTTGGTTGATGGTTTATCATTTTCAGTCTAATGGTACTATTTTTATTTACACATGGTATTAGATATGCGATATGATGGTATGTTTGTTGTTGCTTGATGGTTTATCATTTTCAGTATAAAGGTACTGATTTGATTTACGCATGGTATTATCTACGGGATATGATGGTATGTCTTATGTTGGTTGATGGTTTATCATTGTCGGTATAACGGTACTGATTTTATTTACCCATGGTATTATCTATGAGATAGGATGGTATGACTTACTCAATTTATGACCGTTACAAACTAATATAGCCGTTGCTTATTGTTAGAAGTAGTCAAGTCATAATATGAGCATAAATGACACATAGGCTCATTTGTTTCTAATTCATGGTTTCAGAAACTATTTTGAATCCCGGAAGATTATTTTACTGTTGCCCACACCATGGCTACTCCCATTGGTGTGAATAATTTGAAGTTGGGCAAACTTTTTCCAACTCAAATCGTGAAGAAAATGAAGCTACAAGTGCGTCGATGAACCAAGTCCATCGAGAAAGTGAAGTGAAGAATTGCAATTCTGAAGGTGGAGTAGTTCATAGTTTGATAGTGTTGAATCTAGTAATATTTGCAGTCTACATGCTATGTAAAACCTATGTATTGTAGTTTAATTAGTGAACATAAGAGTACAATGTATAAGCTGGTAAAGTTAGGGTTATTCGTGAATATAGTACGCTTTGTTCACCAAATAAGTACAATGTATAAGCTGGTAAAGTTCGGGTTATTCGTGAATATAGTACGCTTTGTTCACCAAATAAGTACAATGTATAAGCTGGTAAAGTTCAGGTTATTCGTGAATATAGTTCGCTTTATTCACCAAATAAGTACAATGTATAAGCTGGTAAAGTTTGGGTTATTCGTGAATATAGTACGCTTTATTCACCAAATAAGTACAATGTATAAGCTGGTAAAGTTTGGGTTATTCGTGACTATAGTACGCTTTGTTCATCAAGTAAGTACAATGAATACACATGTGAAGTACAAGTGATTCGTGACTATAGTACGCTTTGTTCACTGATAAAGTATATGTTCATATAGTATTGTTACACTCTATATATTATTGTCGGGCCAATGCATCCATATGATCGCATTTGAAGACACAACTCTTCAGTTTAAGACTATTAAGAATGAATGGAGACAATGTGGGAGTTGATCAATATCGATTATGGTAACAATTGAGGAAAATATTAGTTTTACACTTGAGCATTGTAGGCTTGTATGAATATATTGTATAGTATATGAGTATCATGTATGAAATTCAACATATTTATGGGATCTTGTATTCCAAACGCAACAATAATGCTCATCTAGCTTAAAATAATCATCTAAAACATAATTTATGCATCTCCCGTACTTATTGATCATTAAAGCGTCAATGAAATTGGTACAATTCAATTCATCAAAAAATATGGTACGCTTTGTTCATCAAGTAAGTACAATGAATACACATGTGGAGTACAAGTGATTCGTAACTATAGTACGCTTTGTTCACTGATAAAGTATATGTTTGCATTCATATAGTATTGTTACACTCTATATATTATTGTCGGGCCAATGCATCCATATGATCGCATTTTAAGACACAACTCTTCAGTTTAAGACTATTAAGAATGAATGGAGACAATGTGGGAGTTGATCAATATCGATTCTGGTAAGTTTTTCGTGAATACACATGTGAAGTACGCTTTGTTCATCAAGTAAGTACAAGTCTAGTTTTGTTCGTGAATATAAATGTGTTCGCCTTAGGCCTCCCAGACCCTAAGACCGGCCCTGCGTGCAACGCACGTCCACTTTTTTAGTTTCAATTAAAATTTTGATAGAGTTGTGAGAAAGTTACAAATAAAATAAAATCGCATTGCAAGCCAGTAAAAAATGCGCTATTAATAGTATTTTAGTATAATATATTAAGTAGATATTGGAGTAAAAATGTTTCAAAGTTTATGTTAGGTGCACATTTGATTAAATATACTCTAGCGTGCAAATCCCCTTGTTGTGCATAAATATTCTCCACTCCGTAAAAATCGGCCCAATAAAAATAGTCTAAACAATAAAGGGTAAATTACAAACACCCCCTTAGGTATGGTTAAATTACAAAAACACCCCTCTTGTTTGAATAATTACAACCACCCCCCTCAACTCATCAAATTTAGTGGAATCTTCGAGATTATATGGAATATTATCACTTGTGTACCCGTTTTATCCCATTCAAACTCTACATTATGAAGCAAGATGATCATAATATGTGATTTTTAGCTTGTATATATCAGTTTGTGGTGCATCGAAAACTGTATTTTTTACACAAAAAGAGTACAAACTAGATTACATTTCACGGAATCTAGATGACTATGTTGAATTTGGCACCATAAAGGTGGAGGTCTAAGAAAAAATCATAGTTGAGGGGGTAGATATAATTATCCAAACAAGAGGGGAGTTTTTGTAATTTGACCATACATCAGGGGTGTTTGTAATTTACCCAACAATAAATATACCTCCAAATTCCAAAATAGTAGTACTCGAACATCTCTGTCCCACCCACTCCAACTCCATTATTAACAATTATAGAAATAACAATAATTACACCCCAAATACTAATTTCCATCTTTGCCCCTACTTTCCACCATCAATACATAAAGAAGATAATCAATTTTTTCCTTCTTAATTTCCACCCTTCTTTTTTCTCTCTCACTTTCAATCTCACTAAATTTGAAGACAACAAGAATAAAGTAGAAGCTCCCACTCCTTTCCACCAATGGAGAAAGTAGAAAGTTCGATTCCCACGACTGAAGAAGAACCGGCGGCGGCGATGGCGGCGATGACGGCTCACCATTTAACGGTTCCGCCCGGTTTGACCCCGGAGGAGTTCGAGTTTCTGAAGCCAGCGGTGATCGAGCACCACAACTACCGGATCGAGTCAGGCCAGTGCTCCTCCCTACTCGCGCAGTCCGTCCACGCGCCGCCGAAGGAGGTGTGGTCGATCCTCCGCCGGTTCGACAAGCCGCAGACGTACAAGCACTTCATCAAGAGCTGCAGCGTGAGGGACGGCTTCGCGATGGAGGTCGGCGATCTGAGGGACGTGAGCGTGATATCCGGTCTGCCGGCGGCGACGAGCACCGAGAGGCTCGACGCGCTGGACGACGAGCGGCGCGTGACGGGGTTCAGCATCGTCGGAGGGGACCACAGGCTGAGGAATTACAGGTCGGTGACCACCGTGCACGAGGTGGAGCGACGTGAGGTCGGGATCTGCTCCGTCGTGATGGAGTCATACGTCGTGGATGTGCCGGAGGGGAACACGGAGGAGGACACGCGCCTCTTTGCTGATACGGTTGTCAAGCTCAATCTGCAGAAGCTGGCTTCAGTCGCCGAAGCCAGCGCGTGTGATTAACGTACAGGTAATTAATCGATTAATTACTTTGCACACGCTCAAAAAATTAGAACTGCCAAAAATGTTTTAAAAAAAAAGGAATTTTTTTTTTTTTTGTTTTTTTTGTTTTTTTTTTTGTTTTGAAATTGTATTTTGTTGGTTGTGGTTAATTTGTAAAGGGGGCTGGGTATAAAGTTGTGTGAATATTTTTATTTTGGCTCAACTACTATAAGATGTGTATTGGAAAATTCACTTCGTAATCTGGAATTATTCAATCTAAACAAACCCCAATTCAGGTGTAGTTATATGTAAAATTTTCTAGTCTTTCGAATTATTTTAACAATAAATTTGATTTTTTTTTTTCTGTTTTAATTCATTGAGTTGATATATACATCGATAGCTCTGTTTGAATTCACTCCTATAATTATTTAAAAGAATTGTAAAAGTTTCGGAAATATATATATATGTAGGGGTGTTTATTCGGTAATATTGCACCGAGCCGTACCGGAATTTTGGTAAATCAAAATTCTTGTACTTTGTAAATTCGTACTGTTTAACTAACGTAAGTATTCGAATTTTTACGGTTTTTTACCGTATTAATTCGGTTTATTGGATTCGGTACCGTTAAAACCGAAAATATATGTTAATATTTTAAAAAAAATTAAGAAAAATGTATATTTAAACTAGGGTAAATTACAACCACCCCTGAGTTATGGTTAAATTACAAAAGAAATCCTCTTTTTCGGATAACTACATCTACCCCTTCAACTATGAATCTTCTTACATATCCACCCTTATGGTGTCAACTTAAACATAATCATCTAGACTCCGTGGAATGTTCTCTAGTTTGTACTCATTTTGTGCAAAAATACAGTTTCTAAATGCACCATAATCTGATATTTACAAGCCAAAAAACACATCTTATGATCATCTAGCTTCAAAATGTAGAGCTCGAATTGGATGAAACGGGTACAAATTTGAGAATAATGCACATAATCTAGAAGATTCCACTAAATTTGAAACCGCAAGGATAGACGTGTTAGAAAAATTATAGTTGAGGGGTAGTTGTAATTACTCAAACAGGAGAGGATTTATTGTAATTTAACCATAGCTCAGGATGGGTTATAATTTACCCCTTAAACTATTTAATTATTGAATTTAACATTCAATTTTCAATAATCAGCTCTAAAAACAAAAAGTGACTACAAAATAGAGGTTGATTTGTAAATAATTGAAAATATTATCGATCTAAAAATATTTTATAATTTGTTATAACCCTAAAGAATTAAAAAAAAAAAAAAAAAAAAGAATTATTAAATACTTTGGTATCTGGTACGGTATATCGAGCATCGATACCATATACCGTATCAAATACTGGAATTCCAAAAATCTTTACCGATTACCAAATTGAATTTTTGATTCGATATTTGACACATACCGAATTTTCAATTCGATGCGATTCGGTTCGGTCCGTTTACCGGCCGACTAAAGACCCCTAGATCTTGAAGGATATTTGAAAGTTATAATATGTTAATTGAATGAGTGTTTAATTCAGTTGTTGATGCCGATTTTGCATTTCTATTTTGAAAACTATGCTTTAAGAATAAAAGATTCCTTTTGAACATGACTACTAGCTTTTGAGAAAATAAGGTATATGCTTTATAATTCGATAGATCCGCTTCATGAAATGTTGCGTGAAGATATGCAAAATAAAACGCAATTTTCCTTTGGCGGAAACAATAATGTAACACGTTTTTAATTCTGATGAAAACGTGTTTTGACAAATTGGTTCAAAATAAGTTAAATGTTCGCCAAGAAAATAAAGCCGTAAAGATTGACTATTGAGCAATAAGCAGGCCTAACTTGTGGTCCCTTGAATTTTGAATTGGAATTATATAGGTTTGGTATATATAGATTTTTTGATTTTGGGAGACCCGTGTATAGGGTGGTAAATCCGAGTCTCTAAAAAAAATCCCAACATGGCTCTATAAATCCGAGTCTCTCAATTATGTTACAAGTTATCTATATAGTAATTTGACTCGGATTAAATTTGATGTATGAGGTTTTAGATGGAAAAAAGTTATGGAGCATAATCATTTAAGTTCAATAAACTAATCAACAATAACGAAAAACAAACATTTAAAACATAAATAGAGACTTTACTAAAGTTTTCAAAATAAATCCCAAATTTAGGAAAAATTATAAAGACTTTGCTTAATTTAGCGAGTTGCTAAAACTCTTATTGGTGTTGTCTTTTTTGCCGAAATAATCTCTATATTATGCATTCTCATGAAGTTTGAAGACTCTCTTATAATACGAGAGACTCAATAAATAATCGCCCGGGAAAGTAAATAGACTATGATAAAATAACAATTCTTGATGGGAATTGCTATTTGCCATTTGAAAATTGCTATTTGCGGTTTATAACAAAAAACAATTTATTTCTCTAAAACCCCAAAACTTCCCAAAAAAATCCAAAAACCCCCCAAAAACGCGTAAAAGCCCAACTTGGGCGCCCATTCATGCAGTGCACGCCCAAGTTGGGCGTGCAAGCTGCATTTGGGCGCCCGTCTTGGCGTTCCAACATGTTTTTGCGGAAAAAAAAAAAACCCTACAAATCGATTTGTAGGGCTTTTTAACATGAAATTGGTTCCGTAATCGACCTACCCAATGCATATTACACATAAAAGAGTCGAAATTACATCAAAAAATCGAAGCCCAACCCTTCTTCAAGCTTGATTTCGAATTTTTGTTTTTTTTTTTTTTTTTTTGTTTTTTTGCTATTTGCAGTTTGGGGGGTTTTTTTGATTTTTTTGGAAAGTTTTGGGGGGTTTTGTGAAAAACCGCAAATAGCAATTTTGTAACCGTAAATAACATTTCATATTTTTGATTGACATAGAGAATTAGCGGGCGAATTATGGCTAACCCCTAGATGTAGAGTTAAATTACGAAAATCCCCCTCATATTTAGACCTGACCACGGTTCGGTTCGGTTCCAGTTCCGGTTCCGATTTTGGAGGAACCGGAACCGAACCGAAAAAATCCGGTTCCTTGCGGTTCGGTTTCTAACCGGTTCCGGTTCGGTTCCCGGTTAGAACCGGTAGAACCGCCGGTTCTTAATAATAATATATATATGTTCCGGTCAAACCGGTTCCGGTTCGGTTCTAAAACCGTTGACCCCGGTTCGGTTCCGGTTCCGGTTCCGGTTCTAACCGAACCGGTGGTCAGGTCTACTCATATTTAAGTAGTTACAACTATCTTCTTCAACTATTTATTTTCTTACGAAAAACATCTCTTTCAGTTGGTAAAATTGACACAATAGAGTTAGGCCCCGTTTGGTTGACAAGATAAGATTAGCCAAGATAAAGTTAAATAATCTAATGAGACCCCCAATTATTTTATTGGAGCTTGAAACGTCCAACAAAAAAAAAACTCATTAGAAGGCAAGATAAGCCAAGACAAGACAAGATAAACCATGATTATATAATTTTGACGGGTCGACCCGACAATTTATTGAAGATACCAAACATCAAATTAAGTCAAACTATTTAGTTAATCATGACTTATCTTGACAACCAAATGGGGCCTTAGACGTATAAGACAATATGATTGTTTTTTTTTTCATCGTAATTTGGCCTAGAAAATTATTATATTTACCGACTGTCAATCGAACTTCAAAATAATAACTAATTTAACTGTTTATTTCCAAATGAAATGAGTACATGGAGCGTACGCATGATTTAAGCCTGCCAAGCTCAGACTTTCCACTTTCAAATAGCACGTTTATTTTGCAGCCTTGGTAAATTTGATTTTGGTATCAATTTGTTACATTCCTTCATCCAACGAACTTATGTTTCAATTTTTACAGTAATAAATGGGGTTTTTTGCAAAATCCACCCCTGTGTAATCTCGAATTGCTAAAAAACCCCCCGTGTTAAAAAAATTAGCACATAACCCCCTATGAAAGTTAGTCAAGGGCAAAAAGGACCCTACGAGCTCGGTGTGTAATACACTCGCGGTTTGTGCGACTGTGCATGTGTTTTTGGACGTGAAAAGCCACAAATACCCTTTAAATCATAAATTTAGAAAATTACAGATTTACCCCAAACTTTTCACAAGACCAAAATAAAGTTTTTAGATTTTTCAATTTAATCCTTGACATTTTCAAAAAGACCCTCTCTCCAAATCAACCCAAAACCTATCCCATTTTTTCATCAGTCAAGTATTCCAAACTTTGTCTAAATCATTATGAAAGAAGCTTTGTGTATATAGTATAGTAGATACGATAATTAGTTTTGTTTGGGTTATTAAAGCTACAAATTATAATGATATAATCATACAATTAGGTAATGAAGCACTCAGCAGCGGCAGTGTCCAAACTCCTTTCATCCGCCGGAGAAACGACGGTCGTGGCCAACGTTCGGATTGATTGGAAACAAACGCCGGATACCGCAAGCTTTGAGATGCGGCCAATTATTTTCCTATATTTCTAACTGGCGAAGAAATCAACTCGACTCCTTTAATGGTAGAGAGAACGTTGTTGTAGAGGGTGGCTCTCCGACATGTGCGGCAGGAGACACACCTTTATAGTACTATGCGAGTAGTTATTTGGGTTTGGGTTGGGGATGGGTTTTGGGTGGGATAGTGTTTTGCTGGGAAGAAGAACAGAACATATTTTTATTTCCTTCTTTTTTTTTTTTTTTTTTTTTTTTTTTACTTTTCTTTTTGGATTTTTTTTTTCAATTTTTTATTTTTTGGGTTATTTTATTAGTAAGTAGGGTAATTTTGTCATGGAGCGTACGCATGATTTAAGCCTGCCAAGCTCAGACTTTCCACTTTCAAATAGCACGTTTATTTTGCAGCCTTGGTAAATTTTAACATGAGGATTTTTTTAGCAATTCAAGATTACATAGGGGGTTATATGCAATTAACTCGTAATAAATGTGATGTCGAAAAATGACAACTGATTTGGCACGTGCTGTTGGGCTTCATGATTAAAATATACACTGCGTTTTTATTCCAAATTTGCAGATTTAATTTGGTTATCCAATTGCATTCTATTTCTCATTTTTTTTCTAGTTGGCAAACTATTAATACATGCACATCAACCGCATCATGAGTTTAAAGGGGTGTTAAGAGTTATTATATTTTTATTAATATATTTATGGTAGTCCAGTCCTATTAAATTTAAAGGGGCTTAAGATATAAGTTCCTGATGACAAACATTATTAAAACTAATTAAATAACAAGTCTAACTAAACATTTGTTTCACATTCTTTATTAAATTCATTCAAAAAATGCCCATCCAGTCACAAATTCGAAATTACAACAAATTTTAATATACTATGATGTACTATGGTATTATTTAAC